CTTTCTTTCTTACTTTCTAGCAATGTTAAGGATTTTTACTCCCTAACATCAATGATAGCAATAGTACCACTCATAATAGTCACTTAGAAAGACTGTTAGGCATGGGGCACCTGGGTGACTCAGTCAGTCAGTTGAATGTCAGTTGGTTTTGGCTCAGGTCATGACCTGGGGGGTCCTGGAATCAGCCCTGTGTAGGGCTCCAGTGCTGCTCACGGAGCCTGCTTGAGATTCTCTCTCTCCCTCTGCCCCTCCCCCTGCTTGTGTGCCTGCGCTGTCTTGCTCTCCAAAATAAATAAATGAATCTTTAAAAAAAAGAAAGAATGTTAGGGTTAGGCAGAAATGTAATTATTTATGTTTGTTCACATTGTTAACTTTCTTGAATGAAGATTGTCTTTTAGCCTATAGCTTTATTATTTTTATAACATGCTCTGCTTGATTTTGGTAATTTCTAACATTTTTTTGCTGGTACATATCTGTCTTTCTGAAAGCATTGGTATGTTTGGCAACCTTTAGGAGAAATTCCTATCTGGCAGGGTTTTATTTATCCTTTTTTTTTTTTTTTAAAGATTTTATTTATTCACGAGAGACATAAACAGAGGCAGAGACACAGGCAGAGGAAGACCAGGCTCCATGCAGGGAGCCCGATGTGGGACTTGATCCAGGGACTCCAGGACCACGCCCTAGGCCGAAGGCAGACACTAAACTGCTAAACCGCTGAGCCACTCAGGGATCCCCTTATTTTTCCTTAATGGTAGTTCTAAGTATTCATATATATTAGAATAAGTATGAGGAGGAAATGGAATTAAGTAGTTTGAAGATTTTAAAAATGTGCCTAAGTGATAACTCTCTCAGTGTGAATTAGTTTTGTGTTCCATAAGTGGCTTGATTAAACTGTGCTGATTTAGGAAGAAAGTTGTTTGAAGTAATTGGATAGAAGATAATGGAAGCATCATGTAGTCTTGGGTAGCAGGTAAAAGAATGGACTTTAAAGATTTAAATCCCAGGTTTAAATTCTGGCTCATTACACTCTTATAATCTTGAGCCAATTACATAAGTACCTTAAGCCTCAGTTTTGTTATCCATAAAATAAGATAATAGCCTGTACATAATAGAATTAAGAAGATTAAATGAGATATTGCATGTAAAAGACTTCTGAGCACAAAACCTGCAGTAAATGCTAGTTAATATTAATCATCATCATTGCTATCCAGATGTAGGAGTTCTTAGCCTGAAGTTCACTGGAACTGTCAATTAACAGGTATTTATCAAGTACCTGATCTTTAGTATTGGATTAGACCTATGGAAGGAGCTACTGATACAAATAACAGATTGGTACCTAGGGGTGGAGCAAAGAGAATTAATATTAGTATAGTTTTTACCACAGAGTTCAGTAGTAAGGTAGATATTATTATTCCCATTTTATAGATGAGGAAGCTGAGGCTTCGTAATGTTAATAACTTGTCCAAGATAATTGACATTCTCCAGTGTCAAAATATACAGATCCCTATTTTCTAACCTTTACCAGTGCCCCTGTTTTGAGTTCTCTATATATCTCCTCCCTGCCCCAATTCCTTTAGCCTTAAGATTCTCCTGTCCAAATTTGAAAGTATCAACCTCATTCATAGTTCGATTGTACAAAAAAGGGTTAAATAAAATTAAGGGTAATGATAGACGTGACAGTGTTGAGATGGTAGGAAATAATGGTTTGTGGGTATTAACCTAGGTGTCACTATGGGGGCTAATCTATTCTTTAGGTTCTCAAAGAGGAAATAAATAATGCCGTTCAAATTTACAAAAGGTAGATCAAATTGGAAGACTAGTTATAAGGGAGATTTTTTCTTTTTTTAAAGATTTTATTTATTTATTCATGAGAGAGGCAGATCCCAGGGTCTTGGGATCAAGCTCCAATCAGACTCCTTGCTCAGTGGGGAGCCTGCTTCTCTCTATGCCCCTCCTCTCTGCTCATCCTCTCGGTCTCTCTCAAACAAACAAACAAATAAATAAATAGAATCTAAAAAATATACATATATTATACACTTATATGAGGAAGTCCTAGTCATTCTTTTTTTTTTTTTTTAAGATTTTATTTATCCATTCATGAGAGACACAGAGATGCAGAGACATAGGCAGAGGGGGGAGAAGTAGGGGCTCCATCTCAGGACTCTAGGATCATAACCTGAGCCAAAGGTAGACGCTCAACCACTGAGCCACCCAGGTACCCAGTCATTCTGGGTACCTAATCATTCTTAAAAAGAATAAGTTAGATCTATTTCTATTTTAATATACAGCCATCTCCTGGATATATTAAGTGAAAAACACGTAGTAGCATACTATAGCATGCAACAATTGCGTAAAAACAAAACAGGCCCAAGCATTCTTATGCTTGTTTAGACATAGAAATGTATCTCTCTGGAAGGATACACAAGATATTTGTTCTGAGATTCTCCTGATACACAGATTTCTTCTGGAGACATGATGGGGTGGGAGGACAACATACTTTATGTTATTGAAAATGTTTGTGGGCAGCCTGGATGGCTCAGCGGTTTAGCGCCGCCTTCAGCCCAGAGCTTGATCCTGGAGACCTGGGATCAAGTCCCGCGTCGGGTTCCCTGAATGGAGCCTGTGTCTCTGCCTCTCTTTATCTCTCTCTGTGTGTATCTCATGAATAAATAAATAAAATCTTAAAAAAAAAAAGAAAATGTTTGTGAATATTTGCATCAAATGTCTTAAAACACCTTGTGAGATATATGCATTTGGCCTTATATTGTTATTATAAGAGCTTGTACTTATTGATGAGGACTTTTGTGTATATGCTTTCATATTTGTGCTTTTCACCTTGAGGACTCTGTCAGTTGGTCTTTTGACCTAGGAATGGGGAGCAGTATTGATCACCTCTTCCAGGGTAGGGTGGATACTGGTAAAAGTTTCAGGTAGCAGTTGAAAAAGCTGAATATGGTCTTTAAAAAGAATATTTTAAACATATACGTTGAAATGGTTATTCTGCCTGAATAAAGCAGAAGGGTCAGAGAGAAAGAAAATTAAAGGGCTTAGGAACATTTTGGAAGTTGAATGTATGTGAAAAGAAACAGAGAAGGGAGTCCACAATTTGCAAGGAACTAAAATCATTTTATAAACATTATCTCATCTCTTAAATTGTACCCTTTTGTAAAAAGTTATTTTCCAGACTTTCAAAAAACAAAATAAAGTGAATAGATGATAATTTGTGGTTTCCTAAGTAACATAAGAAAATAGCAAAATGAGAAATAGAACCTTTTTTTTTTTTTATTTCCAGTCTAGCCTCACAATTAGGATTAGATCACCTGAGCCTTGATATAGCAAAAGCACCAAAAAAACCCAAAATATAATTTTTAAAACTTCTTTGTGGTGTGTAAAGCATCATCTGGTTAAACTGAAGAAGAGTTTCTGCACTCTAGTGTTGGTCCTGGGCCTGTGTCTAATGTTTGACATTTGGATTTGATCTGAGATCACTGGAAAACCACTGAGTGGTTTTAAGCAGAGTAGTAATGTCTGATTGGGGCTTTTACCTCGTTAAGTAAAAATACCTGGCAGGGAGAGGAGGCAGTGTTAGAGTTGAGGAACCTCAGTTTACTCCAACTGAACACCTGAGGAGAGACTTCGGTGTAAAGGAGAATGCCATTGCCTTAGAATGAAAAATACTTGTAATTTGAATTGGATATTTGGGTTGACTGGTAGATTCTCTCAGGAATCCTCAGTACTTTTTGAAAGCGCATCAGATGACTATAATATGTAAGCAGCATTGAGAACTACCCTTTATCTTGGGGAAAACAGGAGAGATCACAGGGGTAAGCTTGGGAGAAGAGGGTAGTAAGTGAAAAGCTGTGGAGGGCTTGGAGAATATTAACTATTTTTATGTGTTCTTTTTGGAATTCCCCTTTCATATTCGTAAGTTCACATGTCTGAATGTTTTGGTGATATGGATTTAGTAACATTAAACTTTACAGACTTTCCACTTACCCAGCCTTGTCTAATTCATTCTTTCTTAACTGTTCCTTTTTATATGAAGAGAAGAGGGAAGTGTTGAGAAGGGATGACTGGGATATAATACAGTTGATAAGAATTTGATAGCATTAGCAGAAGAATCCACCTCTTAAAAACTCTTAAAACCTTTTCTAAGACTAGTTTCATTTGATCCATTTAAAAAATGTACGTAAAAGAAATTAAAAATGCACGTTATGTATCCACACAAATTCAGAAATTTGAGTAAGTCAACCTTATTAATGTTTAGCTATTTATCTGCATATGTGGAATTCTTGATTAAGATTGCTGATGCTTCCTATAATTGGACAGAACATGTAACTTCTCTTTCTCAGTCTAGGATTTTTGTGTTTTATTGACATAAAGCTGTATCTTTAATGAAGTAAATAAATTATTTGTAGTCGGACGAGAGACTTAAAATAGAGGTGAAAAGGAATGAAATGACCAAAAACAATCACAGAAGTACTTTTTGTTTTTATTGATAACAACCTGTAATCCTGAGTCATTAATTTTATTTTTTTACAGATTTTATTTATTTATTCATAGAGACACAGGGGGGGAGTGCAGAGACACAGGCAGAGGGAGAAGCAGGCTCCATGCAGGGAGCCCCACATGGGACTCGATCCCTGATCTCCGGGATCATGCCCTGGACCGAAGGTGGCGCTAAACCGCTGAGCCACTGGGGTTGCCCCCGAGTCATTAATTTATTGTGAGAAACTGGATTAATTATAGCTAGAAATTCTTTTTCTCCTTAGGAGTTGCAGTAGGGAATGTAAAGAAGGTTTGTAGAAGTTTTGGGTATCAAAATTGTGGCTCTAACAGTTATTTTGCTGGGATTTAATGCAGCCAGTACAGTTTAGGTCTATTTGTAGACTTTAGGATCACTTCAATGTTATTTTATTCAGTAGTACAATAGAGTATATTTTGTTGAAAGTCATGCCTTAAATACTGAGGTTCTTTTTTTTTTCCTTTTCTATTTATAGTGGTAGCCGCTCCTCTAAAACGTTTAAACCAAAGAAGAACATTCCAGAGGGTTCTCACCAATATGAGCTCTTAAAGCATGCAGAAGCTACACTTGGTAGTGGCAATCTCCGGATGGCTGTCATGCTTCCTGAAGGGGAAGATCTAAATGAATGGGTTGCAGTGAACAGTAAGTAGCCTGTTTCTCAGTAGACTTTACATTAGGTTAGTAGCCTCATTGTAGGTGAGTGTTGGGTTGTTGTCTGTTCAGGGATCTAGTTAGCAACCTAATGTCACAGTAGAGTGATACTTCAATCCACTTTAGCCTTTATTTGTGAATATGGAATTTTATGACATCTTTATCTCCCCTTATAATACAAAGCATAGATTTACCATCTTCAGTGGAAAAAAATAACAGCAGCAATTAATATTTATGGAACACTAATTCTATGTCTATTATCCTTTCTATATGGATTATTTTTATTTCATCTTTATAGCCTCATGATGTAGTTACTATTATTATTTCAGTTTAATATAGATAAGGTGAGACAGAAAGATTAGTTATTTGCCTAGGTCATACAGCTATCAAATAATAGAACCTGGGCTTAAATATATTTTAGAATTTTAGAGACTACACTTCTTTTTTAGGTTTTAATTTTAATTCCAGTTAACATACAGCGTTGTATTAGTTTCAAGTATACAGTATAGTGATTCAGCACTCCATATATCACTTGTTGCTTATCATGACAAGTAGAATCTACATTTTAGCCACTATACTAAATTGCTTCTTTTAGTAGCGTACTCAGTTATTTGTCTGTATTATGCTTTTTTTTTTTTTTTTTTTAATTTTTATTTATTTATGATAGTCACAGAGAGAGAGAGAGAGGCAGAAACATAGGCAGAGGGAGAAGCAGGCTCCATGCACCGGGAGCCCGACGTGGGATTCGATCCCGGGTCTCCAGGATCGCGCCCTGGGCCAAAGGCAGGCGCTAAACCGCTGCGCCACCCAGGGATCCCTGTATTATGCTTTTTTTTAAGGCAATTTGATAGTGATCTTATGAAATTAGTAAAATACATTTATGAGATACTCTTGTATTTTCGGGCAGACTTTTAAAAAAATTTTAAATCCAGTGTAGTTAACATACAGTGTTATATTAGTTTCAGATGTACAATAGAGCGTTCCACTAATCCTGTACATTACCCACTGATCATCAGGATAAGGGTACTCTTAATACCCTTCACCTGTTCCATCCTCCACCACTGCTTCCTCTTTGGCAACCACTAGTTTGTTATCTATAGTTTAAGAGTCTGTTTCTTGGTTTGTCTCTTCTTTGATTTCAGTTCTTAAATTCCATATATGAGTGAAACCATATGGTATTTGTCTGTCTTTGACTGGCTTATTTCACTTAACATTATACTCTCTAGATACGTCCATGTTGCAGGTAGTAAGATTTCATTCTTTTTTGTGGCTGAGTAATATCTCATTATATATATAATGAAATACATGTACACACACCATGTCTTCTTTATCCATTCATCTTTGAATGGACACTTGGGTTGCTTCCTTATTTTGGCTTTTGTAAATAATGCAGCAATAAACATAGGGGTGCATATATCTTTTCAAATTAGTATTTCTGTATACGTTGGGTAAATATTCAGTAGTGGAATTACTGGACCATATGATAATTCTATTTTTAGTTTTTTGAGGAGCCTCCTTACTGTCTTCCAGTGGCTATGTCAGTTTGCCTTCCCACCAGCAGTGCATGAGGGTTCCTTTTCTCCACATCCTCGCCAATAGCTGTTGTTTCTTGTTGATTTTAGCCATTTTGACAGGTATGAGATGATTATTGTAGTTTTGATTTGTCTTTCCCTGATGATAAGTGATGATGAACATCTTTTCACGTGTCTGTTGGCCATCTATATGTCTTTGTAGAAATGTCTGTTCATGTGTTTTGCCCAATTTTTAATTGGATTATTTATATTTTGGATGTTGAATTTTTTAGTTCTTTATATATTTTGGATACAAATCCTTTATCAGATATGGCATTTGCAAATATGTTTTCCCATTCAGTAGTTGCCTATTAGTTTGTTGGTGGTTTTCTTTGCTGTGTAGAAGCTGTTTCTTTTGTTGTAGTTCCATTAGTTTATTTATTTATTTATTTATTTTTTTATTTCACTTGCCTCAGGAAGCATATTTAGAAAAATGTGGCTCTCCTCTATGTCAGAGACATTACTGCCTGTGCTCTCTTCTAGGATTTTTATGGTTTCATGTCTCATATTTAGGTCTTTAATCCATTTTGAGTTTCTTTTGTTTTTGGTGTAAGAAAGTGGTTCAGTTTCATTCTTTTGCACGCAGCTGACTAGTTTTCCCAGTACCATTTGTTGAAAAGACTATCTTTTTCCCATTGCATATCCTTTCCTGCTTCATCAGAGATTAATTGACCATATAATTGTGTAGTTATTTCTGGGTTTCCTCTTCTGATCTATGCGTCTATTTTGGTGCAAGTACCATAGTGTTTTGATTACTACAGCTTTGTAATACACCTTAAAGTCTGGAAGTGTAGTATGTCCAGCTTTGCTTTTCTTTTTTAAGATAACTTTGGCTATTCAGGATCTTTTGTGGTTCCATACAGATTTTTGGATCGTTTGTTCTAGTTCTCTGGTATTTTGATCACATTAAATCTCTAAATTGATCTGAGGTAGCATAGACATGTTAACAATATTTATTCTTCCAATCCATATCCTTCCAAGACATTCCTGTTTCTTTATGTCATCTTTAATTTCTTTCATCAATTTTATAGTTTTCAGAGTATAGGTTTTTCACCTCTTTGGTTAGGTTTATTCCTAGGTATGTTATTATTTTTGGTGCAATGATAAGTGAGATTGTTTTCTTTTTTTCACGTGAGCAGGATGGGGCAGGAGAGGGAGGAGAGAGAATCTTAAGCAGGCTCCATGCCCAGGGCAGAGCCTGGTGTGGTGCTCTATCTCACCACTGTGAGATTATGACCTGAGCTAAAATCAAGAGTCAGATGCTTAATTGACTTGAGCCACCCAGGTGCCCCAATGGGATTGTGTTCTTAATTTCTCTTGGAAGAAAGTATATTCATTCATAGTCAATATAAATGAATGTTGAAAACAAAAATATTAGGATTGTTATTACTATCCCAAGATTATTATTACTGATAAGTAAATTTAATAAGATTGCTAGTGGAGTCAATATAAAAATTATAAATAGCATCAAAAATATAAAAAACCTAGGAGTAAATCCAGTGAAACATAGAAAGCTCTACTTTACAATTAGTCCTTTTTGTATTCTTCTTAAGAAATATATTTGTGGGGGCGCCTGGGTGGCTCAGTTAAGCCTCTGCCTTCAGCTCAGGTCATAATCCCAGGGTCCTGGAATCAGCCCTGCATCAGACTCCCTGCTGCCCTCTGCTTCTGCCTCTTTCTCTACTGTTCCTCCTGCTCATGTTTGTACTATGTCTCTCACTCTCAAATAAATAAATAAGATCTTTAAAAAAAAAAATATATATATATATATATATATATATATATATATATATATTTCTGGAGGTGGGTTGGGGGAGGGGTGAATTAAGCAAAGAGGATTAAGAGTACATCTTATGTGATAAGCACTGAATAATGTTTAAAATTATTGAGTCGCTGTATTGTACACCTGAAACTAATGTGCTTCTGTGATTGCTGTTTATTCTAAACTCACCTGTTTCTGGTCTCCATTCTGTTCCATTGGTCTACTAAGACCACAGTGTTTTCTTCATTGTGCTTTATAAATTTTAATGTTCATCTTGTTCTTTTAGAATGTTGGATATTCTTAGCTTTGTATTTCAAATACATTTTAACTTTTTTGATGGCTATGGAATGGCATCCCACTATCACTGAAATTTGTAATTCCATGATTGCCAATGTCTTTTCATGTGCTTTTGACCATTTGGAAACTTCTTTTGTTAAGTGCTGGTTCAAAACTGTCTCACAGGGCAGCCCGGGTGGCTCAGCGGTTTAGCGCCGCCTGCAGCCCGGGGTGTGATCCTGGAGACCCTGGATCGAGTCCCACGTCAGGCTTCCTGCATGGAGCCTGCTTCTCCCTCTGCCTGTGTCTCTGACTCTCTCTCTGTCTCTCTCTCTCAAGAATAAATAAATTAAAGAAAAAAAAAACTGTCTCACATTTTTCTACTATGTTGTCTTTTTCTTTTTGATCCATAGGAATTCTTTATATATATTCTGAATACAAAAATTTTTTTTGAGAGAGAGCATATGATCGAAGGTGTGTATGTGGGGGTGGAGGGAGAGAGAGAGAGAGAGAGAGAATCTTTTTTTTTTTTTAAGATTTTATTTATTCATGACAAGACAGAGAGAGGCAGAAAGAGAGGCAGAGACACAGGCAGAGGGAGAGGGAGAGAAGCAGGCTCCATGCAGGGAGCCCGACGTGGGACTTGATCCCAGGTTTCCAGGATCACACCCCAAGCCAAAGGCAGCGCCAAATCGCTGGGCCATGGGTGCTGCCCGAGAGAGAGAGAGAAGAGAGAGAGAGAGAGAGAGAATCTTAAGCAGACTCCACATTGATGTGGGGTTCCATCTTACAACTCTGAGATCATGACCTGAACTGAAATCAAGAATTGGCTGCTTCACTGACTGAACCACCAAATTTTTGTTGGTTATATGTGTTGCAAAGGATTTCTCCCATGCTGTGCTGTTTTTTTTTTTAACCCTCTTAAGGGAGTCACTTAATAAACAGAGCCCCTAATTTCAGAGTAGCCAAATATTGTAATTCCTGTGTATACTTTTCATCTCTTCTTTGTAGAAGAAAGAACACTGATAAATCTAGGATTCTGCTTGAGTAAAATTAAAATTTAATTTTTTACTCATAACTGATATTTTACTTTGCAGCTGTGGATTTCTTCAATCAGATTAATATGCTTTATGGAACAATCACAGATTTCTGTACAGAGGAAAGTTGTCCAGTGATGTCAGCTGGCCCAAAGTAAGACATGGTTCATGATTAATTCTCGTTTTTTCTTAAAAGTTCTTAGATAAGAAGAGAGTTTCTGACCATATAATTTCTCTACTTAGCATCTCCGTCAGTGGTTCACTAATGACTGATATATTAAAGTCCAGATTTCTTAGCCCAAGCTTTATTGCCCTCCTAATATAATTCTCCTTCCTGCCTTCCTATGTTTGCTTATGAATCTCCTCTGGTCAATCCAAACTAAATTACTGGAAATGCTTATTTCCTCCATTATTTACACTCTGAAAACCTGCACATTCCATTATTCTCTTGGATACTTTTCTTCCCATCTCCCTCCAATCACTTTTTGGTAATATTTCAAGAAATCTTACCCATCTGCACGGCCCACATCAAATGTTTCCTTGTTTATGAAACTTTGATTTTTTTCAGACTAAATTTGGTCTATTTAGCTTCTTTGTCATTGTGATTACACTTCTTTCTTATAGTACTACTATTTACACGTGTCTTATTTAACTTATTAGATTCCTTCTTCGTTTAAATCCCCTTTGATGTAAGAACAGTGCCTGCCACCTAGTTAGCACTTGGTAAATGTTTGCTTGGATCAATAAATTTTTGAAACTGGATTTTATTATTTTTATGGCTGATAATAACAATGACTGCTGCAATTTATTTAGTGTTAACCTAAAATGTTAGGCCTTTCATACATTTCATCTTTTATTTCATATAGCAACCTTATGAGGTAAGAAAAGAAATGGAGACTGAGAAAGTTAAGTAACATGTCCAAGGACCTATTATCTGTAAGTAGGCAGAACCAGTATTGAAATCCATGTATCTTTGATTGTAGTGCCACTACTCTTACTTGCTACATACAATAATAACAAAATATTATTTTATTATAAGAAATATTAGTTGATACTTATAAGACATAAAGACAGGGAAGTTTTAATTTTTTAGTGCTTTTTTTATAAAGTATATCCTATACCCCCATTACATTCAAGATAGAAATATCAAACCAAAACAACACTGCCCAAACTTACTCATGCTTAGGAGTGTTATCATTATAAGTTGTGACCTTAGTTTACTAATCAGTTATTGTAGAATACTTTTGGTGACTTATAAATTGGAGTGTCAGAGTCAGATTGCTAACTACCCAGGAGATGCAGTTTTATTACTTCATAGTCATACTTTACTTTTTTTTTTTTTAAACCAATTCACATATTGAGCAAAATATTACCTAGTTGGAGTTGTCTGCCTTGTCTTTCAAATTAATTCCAGACGAGTTTAGATGTTTCTTGGAATCCAGTTCTTTTAAAGAGGCCTGACAGTTTGCCATCATCAAAAAGATGTTGAAAAGAATATGATTTGAATATTTCTTAAGGCAATTTGTCTGAAAGAACTTATTTTCAGACTATTTCAAACTTTGAAACTTATAATAATTTTAAGTGTACAGAAAAGTTGCCAGAGAGCACAAGGAACTCCCATATCTCTTTCACAACAGATTGCCCAGTTATTAACATTTTACTGTATTTGCTTTGTCACCTACTCTGTGTGTATACTCATTAACAGTATTTTTTTCTGAACCTTTTGAGCAAATTGTAGACAGTAAGGCCTCTTTACCCCTTCATATTCAACTGTGGATTTCCCAAAAGCAAGGGTACTCTTCTACATAACCAGTATACAAAACCCTCCAAGTCACTCCTTCCAGTCCACAGACACCATTCACATTTCATTACTGCTTCAACAGTATCTTAGTTTTCCCTTTTTGGTCCAGGATCCAGGATCCTATCTAGGAATATGTATTGCATTTATTTGACTTATGTCTTCAGGTACCTTCAATTTGAAATAATTCCTCAATCTTTTTCTGGTATTGCCCTTTATATAGAAAAGAGTTAACAAAGCAGACCTCTTGAAAGGCCTATATTCAAAACTGATCCATGGATAGCAACTGGGAACTTGGTTTTCAGAAGAGTTCCCACCTTCCTAACTGTTAAGACTGGCTCATAGTGCTTAAACTCTTTGTACAGACAGTATAGTTAATGCTTTCCTTCTGGGAATCTAGAATTTTATTAGGTGCCTGCCACCCAGAAGATGCCTACTTGACCATCCTCAATAAATATAACCTGGACATTGAGTCTCTGATGAGCTTACTAGCTAGACATTATTTAACATGTGTTACCATAACTGAGTCTTGGAGGAATTTAAGTGTGGCCCTGTGACTGCACTGGGAAAAGACTCTTGGAAACTTGCACTTGATTTTCTCTGAATTTCGCTTCATTCGTTTTTTCTTTTTGCTGATTTTGGTTTGTGTTCTTTCACTGTAATAAATCATAGCTCTGAGTACAACTGTGTGCTGAATTGTGTAAGACCTCTTAGCAAATCATCAAACCTGGGGGTGATCTTGGGAACCCCTGCAGAGTCTAGTCTGTCTGCTGTTTCCTTATGACACATTCAGGCGATGCATTCTTGACAGGACACCATAATTTTTTTCTCAGTGAATCATATCAAGGGGAATATAATGTCAGCCATCGCATCATTGGTGATGTTAGCCCTGATTACTTTATCATCTTAGCATCTGCAAGGTTTCTTTACCTCTAATTTGTCATTCCCCACACCTTTGAAATTGACTAGTATTTTATTGTGAGGTTTTCTGATATTATACCAATATCCTGTTCCTGTGAACTAGGGGGAATTATTGCCACTTAGAATACTGCTGTGATCACTTTCCCCACAGAAACCTTAACTAAATGACTAGTTAGGAAGAATATACATAATTCTTCAAAGTGACAGATGCAGGCTCTCGATAACTACAAAAACAAAAAATGATCTTTCTTTTCTTCTTTCATCCTTTTATTCTTTCTTTCCTTCCCTTCTTCCCTCCTCTCCTACTTACCCTCCCTCCCTTCCTTCCTTTTTTTATTTTGAGAATCTTAAGTTTTGTCCATTATTAGGGCTGACAAGATGCAGTGGTCATTGTGCTTTGCTATTGTTAGCAGAAGATGCTTGGGATTTACCAAGGAGAGGCATTTGTTAGTAGCTTAGTATGGGCTCTGCGCAGGGTGTTATTAAGTGATGGCTCAGAGGATTTTGTCAGTTATTATTTGTTATTATTATTAACCAAGAAATGATGAATATTTTGCCGTTCATACCATGATGACAGAAATAAATTTCGAAGAGAATGATCTGTCAAAAATGGAATAAAAAAATCAATGTGGGTAAAATCGAGTTACAGGATGAAGTCACTTAAGTAAAAACATGAAAAAAGAAAAAAAATGCGTCAGGAAATCATAGTTCTAGACTGTAGAAGTATAAGCAGTATGTAGTTTTATTTTTCAAAAAACACTAGCATATTCAAAGTATGTTTAAAAAAGCTTCAGAATATTGGAAATGATTTTTAGGTCAACTGTGTCTGCTTTTGATTTCTGCATTTAAAAATGAATATGTAACACCTTATCACTAATAAAATGAAAAATATGGTTGGGTTGGAAGGCAAAAATGTTAAGATTTCTTAATATGTGGGAAAAAACATGGATCAATCCCTGTCTTTAAGTGAAGAATAATGATGCTTAAAGTTCCACCATTTGTGGTCTCTGTCTCCTAGAACGAGAACAAACTTAAGTCTCCCTCAGGATTTTAGCTTTAATTTAGGAAGAATCTCTTGACTGTGAAAGTGATTAAACAGTGGAACAGAATGCCAAATGTTGGGGAATCTCCTTTTGGAGACCTTCAAAGTAGACTTGACAGTCAGTCCTGTTGCCCAGGGTTGGCAGTAAGGTGTGCTGTTAGAATGTTTTTTCAGGTGTATTGTGTTTAGGTTTATTGTTTAGGTGTAAGAATGGAAATCTTCCTTATTTAACCTATTTCAAGATAATTTTCATCATTTAAAGTACTCTGTATTTTTCTGTTATATTTTCTTTCACCTTTTTTGTTAGACTCACTGACCTATCATTTTGTCAGCCCAGACTGCAACAAGGTTAGAATAACAAAATTGATTAAAAGTGGTAGAAGTAATCTTTTGGAAACTAAAAAACAAAATGGTAGTTCAGTTTAGAGATTTTTATGATTTGGAGTTTCAGCTGTGTGCTTATTTCTTATCTTTTTTTTTTTTTTTTAAGATTTTATTTATTTATTCACGAGAGACACAGAGAGAGAGGCAGAGACACAGAGACACAGGCAGAGGGAGAAGCAGGCTCCATGCAGGGAGCCCGATGTGGGACTCCATCCATGGTCTCCAGGATCACACCCTGGGCTGAAGGCGGCTCTAAACCGCTGAGCCACCAGGGCTGCCTGCTTATTTCTTATCTTAAAAGTCAAGTTGTTTTTGTGTGTGGGTGTGGAGGTGTGTATAAATCTATTACCATTTTTGTTAAACTGTTTTTAGCTATTCATATACAAGCCTCTCTCCAGTCTATTCTCCTGTATGATACAATATGGAAAGTATCTTTCATTTTAGTGTTCATTGATCAAGAACAGTATTCTTTGAAACAGTATTTTTCATGTGGTAGGTGCACATTAAATGTTTATATCAAAGGATAGTGTTCTGTTAATACCCAAATCCTATAGGTATCTTTATTTGGGTTGCCATCTTTTTTTCTTCTTCTTCTTCTTCTTCTTCTCTTCTTCTCTTCTTCTTTCTTCCTTCTTCTTCTTTCTTCTTTCTTTCTCCTTCTTTGTTCTTCTTTCTTTCTTCTTCTTCTCCTTCTCCTTTCTTCTTCTTCTTTCTTCTTCTTCTTCTTCTTCTTCTTTTTTTTTTTTTTTTTTTTTAAGATTTTTCTGTTTTCATTCATGAGAGACATAGAGAGAGGCAGAGACATAGGCAGAGGGAGAAGCAGGCTTCTCACAGGGAGCCTGATGTGTAACTCGATCCCAGGATACCAGGATCACAACACAAGCCAAAGGCAGATGCTCAACCACTTGAGCCACCCAGGTGCCCTGCCATTTTTCTTTAAAGACATTATTTAACTCTTCAACCAAATGTACTCAGATATTGACTCATTCTCCTCTTCATACATCTTACTTTGGAGCTTCCATATTAATTCTCTCTCCTTAATCCAAAATTTAAAGTCTCAAATTAAAAGAATTATATTGCATAAGGAGACGTGTTTTTTGAAGGAGAAAAACAACCATAAAGGTTAAAGAAGGTTATCAGAGAAGCAAAGTAGGAAGTTAGCTAGATTTTCTACTATGGCAATGTATGATTCTAAAATATAAATACGATATCTAAAGAAAAGCTTGCAAAAAATGAGTTTGATGGGATCTGCTTAGTTTGGATCATGATAAATGCAAAATAGTCCAGTAACAGTTTAAAAACTCTAAATTTAAATGCCAAATATCTTTATTTAGAGGAGCAGATTGTTTATTTTTATTTTATTTTTTTTAGGAGCCGATTGTTTAAAACATGTGTCCTGTGTACATTCATAATATACATACATATATAATTAAAAAAATACACATTTTGTATAAGTATATACTGATATTTTATGTTCCTATTATCTTTCCAATACAGATATGAGTATCATTGGGCAGATGGAACAAACATAAAGAAGCCTATTAAGTGCTCTGCACCAAAGTATATTGATTACCTGATGACTTGGGTTCAGGACCAGTTGGATGATGAGACATTATTTCCATCAAAAATTGGTATAATTGTTTTGTGTAATTGGAATCCATTATTTATCTAGTTTTATATATTTCTAGAGCTTATTGGCTCTCTAGACTACTGTAGGTATCAAAATATTTTTAATTGTTTACATTTAAAATTATTTTATCTCTTTCATACCAGAGTTTATAATGAATATTAAGTTAAACCTCCCTGTAATTTTAAATGAGAATATCAGTGTATCTTGGATAATAACAAAATTTGGCCTGTGTTATAGAAAAAAGAGACGGTATACTGGATAGGCAGCCAGTATCATCTGTCACGGTCACATCCATTTCTTGTTTAGGGAACAAGCTTATATTACTTATTTCCAGTTTTACAGTGTATTTGTGGCAAAGAGGGAGTTTGAGTTTATAATGACAGTGTGAATCTTACACACTGTGAAATCAAGCTAGGTGAGAAGAAACAAGATCTGAGAGGTTAGCCTGTTACCTGCTTTGAGTGACTTTTGCTTTTTTTATATTTGCTCTTAAGGAAATTATATTTGCTTTCAAGTAGAAATTGTTCACATCTAGATAATTCATATGGTTTTACTTTCTAAAACTTCTTATAACATGTTTTCTGAGAAAATTAAGAATTTGTTCTTCTATCAACAGACAACTTTTTTAGTATATTTTATGCTTTTAGAGTTTGGAAGAAGGGTGTGGTAGAGGAGACAGCAATGTAAATAGTTGCTGTTATTATGGATTGTTTTAAACACATTTATTGAATGTCTTAACTACTTTGGAGCCTTTGTAATAAGAGGCTGTTTTTTAGGACTGCCTTACTTATATACCTCATAATCATTTTGGTTAAGTGCCTTCTCCTTTTATCTCCCATAATATATTTTGTAACTTTTTATTTTGACTGAATTTCAGGCTTTTAGAAAATTTACAAGAATTATACAAAGAATCCCTGCTCTCCCCCCCCCACCCCGTTCTGCACTCCCCACAACTTCATGTTTTCTTTTTCCTGAAGTGTTTGAGAGTAAGTTGCATGCATGATGTCCCTTTATCCAAATATGCTTTAGTGTGCATTTTCCTAAGCATGATGTCCCTTTATCCAAATATGCTTCAGTGTGCATTTTCTTAGGAAATCACAGTATAACTATCAAAATCAGGAATTTAACAATGATACAAGAGTATTATTTAATTTGTAGATCTTATTCAGATTTTTCAAAATTTCCCAATAATATCCTTCATTGCAAAAGAAAATCTCTGACATTTGTTTGTCATGTTACTGTAACTTTTTAAAATATGGAATATGTGTACTTCATTCTTTTTTGGTCCTTCATGACACTGACCTTTTCAAAGAATATAAGCATACTATTTTATATAGTGTCCTTTCATCTTGGTTTGTCTTGTGTTTCCTTGTGATCTCTCTCTATATATATTTTAAGATTTTTTTTAAAGTAATCTCTACGCCCAACATATGGCTTGAACTTAAAACCCCTAGTCATGTGGTCTGCTGACGAAACCAGCCAAGCGCCCTGGTACCTATAATATTTTTAAATGAATGGTAGGCAATGTGATGACACTGAATCCAGTAGTATTAGGATTTGGCTTGTGTATTACCAATTTGGCTCATTTAGCCAGTGTAACAAAGGACATGGAATTTTTCATTTTTCTAGTCTGTAATTGTTTAATTGCTATAAAAGTGCTCTTATTCATAAAACAATGAGCCTCATTGAGAGGAACTGCAGCTAATTTCAGAATAAATGTAGACCTGGAGTTGTAATGAAATAATTTCCATCAAGAAAATATAAAAACATATTGCAAGCTTTGTAAACAAAACTGAACATGGTTAGTACATTGTGCTTAACGAATATTTATATTTGAGATGATGTTAAGAAATATGAGGGTATAATTGTGAGTTTTAGCTTCATTACCATCTTAGGCATAAATCTATTTCACGTTTTGAAGTGGCAGGTATATAAGAGACTTAAGGGGCTTATTCCATGGAACTTTTGAGGTTTATTTTCATTCATGATATGTTGAGAACTTCTGAAAAGTACAGTGGGTATTTGGTAATAATTCACAAATACTTTTGAGCTTTGTCTTGTTACTTTATATTGCCATTTGTTGATAAACTCATACTACCTTGTTCTTGTCTCTTGTTAATAGAGAGGGTTGTTTATCTATTTATTAGGTGTCCCATTCCCGAAGAATTTCATGTCTGTGGCAAAAACTATCCTCAAACGCCTCTTTAGGGTTTATGCTCACATTTATCATCAGCATTTCGACCCTGTGATCCAGCTTCAGGAGGAAGCACATCTCAATACATCTTTCAAGCACTTTATTTTTTTTGTCCAGGTAAGTTGAATTAAGAGGCCTTTTTTACTCAGTAAAACCAGTTATCTACAGAGTTCCAGGGTGAATCTCGCATCTATACTGTTAGGATAAAATTTGCCGTATCTCTCTAACCTTTATCTTCGTATGCTTGCCATGATGATAAGGCCTTTTGTTTCTGATTCCATTCATCTCCAAGTTGATGGCATGCCAGTCTGAAATGGATCTGAGAGGTGTCTTGCCTTGAATTTGCATCAGTTAACAGGCTGTAATGGAGGGGCTGAGTTAGGAATCTGGCTCGTTTAGCAGGCCTGTAGATAAACTTGGTCTCTTTAGCATTCCTCCTAATCGTCTTAACCCTCAATACCTGCCTACTCTAGATGTTTTTTTGTTTTTGTTTTTTTTTCAGCAAATTCTGTCCTGGAAATGGGCTTTGAATATAACACCTTTCCCCCCTCCTTTTAAAAACCATATTCTGAATAATTTTTAAGTTAGGTACTACTCATTATACCTGAAGAACGAAGATGTTCCAAAGAGTGTTGCTATTCCAGATGTCCATTAGTCTTTTTTCTGACTCCAGTTACCTCTTCTTCCTTCTCCCTTTAGTTCTCAAAGGTGTAGACTAAGAGGAGTTGGATATTTGCATTCTGCTATGATAATTAGATCACTACTAGGCAGGATTGAAAGAGGTGGAAATGGTTAAGCTGATCAGCTTTTTTTTTTTTTTTTGGTGGAGATTGAGAGAGTAGATGGTAGGCAGAAGTCCAAGTCTTGAATCTGTGTTTTTTATTTATTTTTTATTAAATATATTATTTATTTGAAGGACGGTGAGCCAGAGAGAGAGAACCCAATCAGGGTTCTCCCTCTGGGAGGGTCAGAGGGAGAAGGAGAAGCAGACTCCCTGCTGAGCACAGAGCCTGTCATGGGGCTCAGTCCCAGGACCCTGAGATCATGACCTGAGCTGAAGTCAGATGCCCCAAAACTGAGCCACCCAGGCGCCCCTATATGATCTTCTTTTAGAGTGCAATGTTCTCTCTCAACTGCTACCAAATAGTAGGGGATTGACAAATACAGCATTTGCCACATCTGAGCCTATTTACATCTCAAGATACTGTGACTTTCTTAAAGGTAGGAGTTATACAGTGACCCTTTGACTGAGTAAGAGGTGCTCTGACCTGGGCCTCACTGTTAATAGAACCCTATTCTGGCCCTTCTCCAGCTGTACTCCCCACAGTGTAAGGGACCCATAGGGCAAAGAACATACCTCCCAGATCCCACTGGTTAGGTACCTGACACTTCAGAATTTCCTTTTCACATGGTCCCAGTTGTATTTCCAGCATGTTCACGGATCTTACCCTTGGGTCCATTCTTTCAAGGGAAGGTGATATCTCTGATAGGTGTACCTCTAGATCTAAGGGGTAGTCAGATGGCAGCTGTTTGTGAGAGTGTATGACCATGGCCTATATAAACCAGCCAGGTGTCACAATCCTACAGGCTGAGGCCCCTTGAAGTGCAGGGTGGAGCTGGGGGTTGGAAGGTCAGGGACATTTGCTGAGGGTCAAGGACAGACTCTCCTCATGTTACTACTTTCCAGTGCAGAATCCTGAGGAATTTTGAGAGTTCTAAATTTGAATTTGCTTTCCTGGTCACTATGAAGGCATATTTGTCAAGGCAGGAGAATAGAATATGTTTTATTTAACAATGTATTAGCTTAATGTAAAATTTAATAGTCATGTGATATATATCAATTTGTGTTCTTAGTCCAGATCCCACAAACCTTAGGGGTAGGTTTGCTCTTAAATGCTCCCTAATGCTTCCCCTCAGGTTGGCATATGATCGTGCTAATAAATGAATTAAAATGGGAACTCAGAATGTCCCACCAGGACAGAATATCAGAAGATCAGAAGTATGGATGGTTGATGCTTATTAGCCTTACAATTTTATAGTTCAGGGGAAATCTATTCGGAACTGAACTTCAGAATGAGAGGGGTGGAATTTCTAAAGAAGTAAAAATTAAATCCAGGCTTTCTCATTTGTTTCTTATAGGATTTAATTTATCATTTGTGGACTTCACATTAGTTACGTTATTCTCATACCACATTTTATGATAGCTTGCAGATGTTAACTATTTCACTTTTCATATAATACTGAAATTTGCCTGAGATGCTAGTTTTTGGTCCCCACTTGGTTGACTATATCTAAATGATACTCAGGTTATTCCCTTTAACAAGAAGCAGCACTCCCACAAACTGAGTGGGATTCACTTTATGCCAGGGATTACATGAAGCAGTTAATACACGGAATCACATTTAGTCTCCACGGTAATTTTATGAAGTATAGGGGCATTTACTCTAGTGTTGCTACAGACATGTACAAACATAATATCCAAAGTGCTTAAGTGATTTGTCTAAGGAAGTCACAGAGCTAGGGAAGAGAAAAAGAAAAGCATTTTTTTTGAAAAAAAGATTAGACTTTTATTTACCTTGAAAGCTAATTTCCAACAAATGTTAATAGAAAATCTGCTTTTGGAATGAGATGCAAATAATATGTTTTCTATTTTTTCCTGCCTTATCACGCATAGGAATTCAACCTTATTGATAGAAGAGAACTTGCACCACTCCAAGAACTGATTGAAAAACTCACCTCAAAGGACAGATAAAAGGATGAAGAGCTGTGCAAGTTGTTCCTCAAATGAAGTGTGTGGAGTGTATTTGGATTTTGTTGTGTTTTATTTTTATCTTGGTCATTTTTGTCTTAGGTTTGGGGGGCTTGTTTGGGTTAGTTTTTCTTTATTCTGAATAAATTAAACATATTCTATTGCTAGAGGAAGCCAAGAACCATTCTCTATATATTTCATAGGGGTAAATTTTGTCTTAGTGGCATACAGTTTTTGTTTTTTGTGTTTTTTAACTTGGTTTGATTACTTCCAAATTTTTTGATAATACTGTGTGTTGAAAGAAAATGCTTACTTAATTGGATTGCTGATGGATGGGGGTTCTGTGTTGTGTAAATTGTGGCCAATTTTTGAAGTCCCCAAAAGACTTATGTTTTTAAGTGCCTTGGCAGGCTCACTTCTGAGGTGCAAAGCACAGACATTGAACTGAACAGAGCTTGAAATACTAGGAATACTACCCAGGGCACTTACTGATGCATGTTTTAAAATATCTATGATAAAAGCCATAGTTTACCTAAATTGGTGATCTCCAGCTTTTACTACATTGAAGAAACACAGTTTGTAAAGGTGTGCATGTAGAACATAAAAAATTATTATTTTTGATATTGATGATAATCAACAAATGCTTACAGTTCTACAAGCAGGTCTTTTTCCATCTCTTGATATCTGTGATATTGAAACTTGAGGATGTTGAAGTGTAATACCTATTGCATTTTAGCTTCTTTCTACATGTTAACTGCACTGTAGGTGTGAAAATTCAGGTTATATATAGGTTTACCATCTTCAGAGGTGATGCTGAACTGTGAGGTTTCTTAGCAATTGCCAAATGAGCCATAAGTCTACAGAATCCCCTTCTACTTTGAAGAGGAGGGGATGGATAGGAGTGTGTGTTTGGTTAGGAGGGTTAATTTGTATGGGGAGCTATAGATGGGCTTAAGTATGGTGAGTCAAATTCGAAAAGTCTTGTCTTAAAATCCTTGAATAGAGTGGCATGAAGATTTTAACCAATTTCTTATAAACAAAGTTTTAGAGACTTCCTTTTAGGAATCAACTTCCATGAGAAGTTAAACATAAATGATTAATTTTAGGTATGGACGTTAAACATGGAATTTGAGGACTGTTTCGGGAAATTGATCACACTCCAGGATTTCCATTCAGTGAATGGAGCTGGTGTTTGCCTGTCATTTTAAAATGATAACAGTAACTTCTTTGCTTATGATAGGTCTAATTTGAAGCATTCTGACTTCTGATTTTTCCACTGTGAAAGGAAATCTTTTTCTTTGCAGTGATATCAAAGTGCTAATTCAGTAGTATTAACTTTTCCATCTTATTTGTCATGACTTTGTAGTAAATTATTCCCATGAGTAAAAAGTTGAGAAACTTAGTTTTAAAAAAGAATATTAGCATTTTTCATTTTAGTTTTATTCTTGAGAAATATCTTTTTCAGACTCCCAGTTTTAATTTTGTCATTTCTAGTAAATCTCTTTCCGTCAGTTTAAAATACACCTTTTTCCTTGTAGAATAGAAATCCTGCTCTGAAATTATATAGACTAAAAATGATCAGTAGGAAAAAAATCTAACATGAAATCAGTTTGTTTTTGCCATTAACAATGAGAGCAGTGATATAATTTAGTGCCATTAAAATTATGATCATTAGGAACTGCCTTTTTCTCCATTTCATTTCTAACAGTCATTCTCCAAGTACCAACAGTAGAAGTAACAGGAGAGCCTGGCAGAGGCACATCCATTAGACATTCATTGGTAATGTTTATTGACAAATTACAGTGAGAACTAGCTGATTTCCTTAAAACAAATCTTTTGTTATCCAAACAAGTAATATCAGCCACTGTGGGTTGATTCAGAAATAAAATTTGGTGTCAAGTGATTTTGGGTCCTATTTGTTTATGAAAATGAAGCCCGTGATCTTTCAAGTAGTCTTCCATACTGCATTTGACTTTAATATCAACGCAGTAACAAAAGGGTTGCAATAGCCAAGTGTAGAAAATAGTGAAAAATTGTTCTTGCTCTTTTTAAGCCTTACACAAGTAGTACACAGTAAAAATGGAAAAGTGTTTCTATAAATTAATGTTTAGTAGTAGGCCCTACTTTCCTACTGTATGTAGATAGGAGTTTATTGTCACTGTGTCATAATCTCAGGTGCCTGCTTCTGAGTATTCCTTTAAACAGAGGTATTATTAGGAAGTAAGGACATGTGTAAGTGTATATATGGTAACAAAGTAGAGAAGTTCTCCCAGGGAGAGGCCTGGCATTGTACATGGTGTTACATGGCTATGGGTAGCATGTAAGAAATAACTGATTTAACAAAATGTTGCTTTGATTAGTTCCCATGAGTGTTAGTAAGATGCCCTTTATAGAATAAGGATCAAATTTTGGTTTTGCAGTGGAGTTTGCTTATAAATGTATATTGGATTCTTTCCTGATCTCTTAATTTAATTTATAAATAAGCAAGATAATGATTTCCCCCTTGTTCCTTATACAGAAATCTAAAGCAGAAGTTGGTTTTCTCATCCAATAATAAAAGCATAAAATATAAAATAGTTAACATAGTGTTATTGTGACAATGCTTTGGTTAAATGTTGAAACGAAGCAAGTTTTAGGAATTATTTTAAATGATGGAGTAATGGTGGTGGAGAGAAATTAATAACAAAGAGTGAAAATCTTTCACTAAGCAGTAGATGGTGCTACTGGATTTCATTTGCTGACTTGATTATTTTGTTTCCCATAAAAACCATGGCATTAGACTGCATTCAAACAGTAGTGTGTGTTAGTTTAGCTGGTAGAGGCTTTGGTGCTCAGTTTAATTTGAAAGATTTTAGATTGCTTTCCTTTTTTCATTTGTACATTCTAAAGGGTCAGCATAAAATGTTTTAGGTGGGAGAAGACAGGTTTGGTGTATAATATATCTCTGAGTTACTGCCTGGCTTATCAGGAATTATAAAACACCGCAATCTCTTATCTTCAAGAAATATAGATGATGAGGATATTTATATTTTACATGTAATCACCAAACCCCAAACTGTTTTATGTATAGCATTTTCCTTGCTTATAGGAAAATAGCAAAATGACATTTCTTTTATACTTTTGTGTACACCCTCTCTAAGAGAGGTTTTGATAACCACTGAAATGGTAAAATATGTGAGATACAATTATTAAGTTATAGGACTTTCTTTTAAAATAAGTATGTCATACCTTAAACATCCAAATGAGAGTTGATCTTCAGAGTGATTCCTTAGGGAGCTCTACTCTTTCCAGCTATGTTTTGAAGGTGTAATGTTTTTGGAACATTTTTAGAGATGCCTTGAGAATTGGTTTATGACTATGCAAGAAAATCTATTTCATCATTTTAGCGTGCATGAAATCTTTTTTGGCAGCTTAATATGTATGACCTATCTCAGTCCCCAAACCAACTCAACTTTGTTGTTTCCGTAGAACTTTAGTTCCCTAATGGTTTAGGGAAGTTCAAAAGACTGGCATAGATAGATAGATAGATAGATAGATAGATAGATAGATAGATAGATAGATAGATAGATAGATGATAGATAGATAAATAGGACTGGCATAGGTTCTAAATTTGCAGAAGACAATGTTTTGAGCATTGTTAACATCATTTTAATAAGGAAATATTTTCCTGATATCACTACCTTGAAGTAGACAGTATCATTTGGATATATATAGGTTTTATTTAATTTTTTAAAATTCAGTTTAATTACCTTACAGTTAAATATAATAATTAAAAATAAAAATCTATCTTGTTTTCTATTTTTGTTTCTTTCCCTGATAACTTTTGAATTTTATCTTCACTACCGGAGGATAGTTTTGATTAGAGATAGGAAGAAAAAAATGGATCCAATATTTAAGATAGAAGTAGCTTAAGGTGAGAACAGCCTTTACATTTTAAACATATTTTCACTCAAATAAACAATATGAATTTAAAGACGGCAGATCATTGTACAAATTGGTAAATTTTATATAATAAGTATGCTGAGTTTTAAGCCTATGTATCACAGATAAAATATTTAAAATTGTGTAATCATTTCATACATTTATAACTTGAAATTTTTGAATGTCTTTTTAAAAAAAGATGTGGGACCATAAGTATATTTGTGATTTGAAAATGTGACTGCTTACCAAGGGGAAAACTTATTTTGAAACTTACTTGAAATACTAAAGAATAGACCAGTTTTTAGAAATGCTATTCTGGATCTGTACTTTAAGAACCACTCCTAAAATAAATATTAGACTTTTGTCATAATGTTAAGATTCACCTGGCAATTGTTAAATTGCTGTTTTTTTCAGCTATCACTTTAATGGTGTATGAGATTAATATTTAGAGGTAAATATATGTCAAGATTTAATGGACAAGTTTAAGATACAATAATTCTGACTGCAAACACTTTTTTTTAAAAGATTTTATTTATTTATTAATGAGAGACGGAGAGAGAGAGAGAGAGAGAGAGAGGCAGAGACACAGGCAGAGGGAGAAGCAGGCTCCATGCACGGAGTCCAACATGGGACTCGATCCTGGGTCTCCAGGATCAGGCCCTGGGCCAAAGGCAGCCCTAAACCTCTGAGCCACCAGGCTGCCCATACAATTTGAATTTTTAAGGTGTTCCTAATGAGTTAACCATAGCCTATTTTAAAGGAATAGTACTGTGTTCCATGTTTTCTACTTATAGCTGAATTGGCACTTAAATTTTGACAAAAGGGAGAAAATACAGATTAAAATATTGAATAATACCAGTTTTGCAAATACGATGTAACTTCTTTTCCTGCATGTAATGCTATGCAATAGAAAATTTTAGATACAGTTCTCAAGATGGCCTTTTTGTGTTCTATGTTTGTCATCTCCTTCTCCTTAAATTACTTCTTACATTATTGACTTCCCATCTCCCGAACCCCATCGCACTAAGAAAACAAAACAAAGAGGTTGATTTTGCAGGTCCTCTTTGTTAGTGATTCTGAGGTGTTTTCTGTCAATACATTGACAGAAGTTTTGGAAGGTGCAACTTATATAAGCATTTTTGGTTTGTTTTGGTTGATAGCTTCCTTTAAATCATGTCACTGAACCTGAGATATTAATGATTTAAACTTTTTGTTAGTATTTAATTTTTCTGTTTATTATTAAATCTTGTATGTTGGTGTTTTGCGTATGTTTTCATTTTTATTTCGTTCTGAAATCCCTGTGCAGGTTGTAAAATAGATTAGTGCATTTTCATGTTAAGAACATGTTTCTCCTTAAATTGTTCTGCAGAGATAACTATTTTTAGGGAAATAGTTTTTTACAGCCACTAGATTGTATTTGTTATTTTTGTACATGCATAACTAAGGTGGTAAGGGCCCTAATCCTGTGGGAAACACTTAACTTTTGTTCTATTTGAAATTTTCTTATACATGATTCCTTAAAATTACCAAGGAACTGTCATGAAATCTAGGTTGAAAGAGAATACAATAAACATGACAAGACTTAAAGGTTGAATAGAGATCATTTCTGAGGACAAAAGTAGAATACTGCCAGTGCCATATAATGGAAGCATAGTGGCAGCATTCACACTATGTAAATATTGCAGAGAATGTGAAAGACAGGGATCTTGCTCTCATGGAGATACATAATTTTTCTCTGTTTTAAGTAGCTGGATGGGGAGAAATGGTCTAAAATATGAAATGCAACATGAACACTATATTGAAAACTGTGCCAATATTACTCAAATTCTGGTTATTACTGATCAGTTTAACTGCTTCATCAGTTTATTTTAAAAGGGGATACTGAATGTCAGAAAATCTGTAATATGTTTAACTGAGAGATGTAAATAATGATACAGACTTGTATGTGATGGGATGGGAAATATTTAAATTCTAGGTTTTTTTTAAAGGAAGAAACTGAATGTTTATTTAAAAAATTAATAAATAGTTATGTTTGACAATGAATCCAGACTTTGCATTACTGATTATTTTTGCTCTAGGTGTTCCCACATTATTATTTTTAAAGATTTATTTATTCATGAGCAACACAGAAAGAGAGGCAGAGACATAGGCAGAGGGAGAAGTAGGCACCATGCAAGGATCCTGATGTGGGACTCGATCCCGAGACCCCGGGATGACACCCTGAGCCAAAGGCAGACACTCAACCTGAGCCACCCAGGTGTCCCTAGATGTTCACACATTAAACACATTCCTAGAGAAATATTGTAAGTATGGAATATGTTGGACATTTAAAACTTCTGCATTTTTTAAAGATATTTATTCATGAGAGACACAGAGAGAAAGAGACATAGGCAGAGGGAGAAGCAGGCTTCCTGCGGGAGCCTGGGACCCCAGGATCACACCCAAAACCGAAGTCAGACGCTCAACCACTGAGCCACCGAGGCGTCCTTATGCATTATTTTTTTAAAAAAAGATTTGTTTAATTTAGAGTACACACACATGTGTGCATGAGTTGTGCATGAGCCTAGAGACAGGCAGAGAGAGAATCTTGAAGCAGACTTCCCGCTGAACATGGAGCTGGATGAGGGGCTCCATCCCACAACCCATGAGATCATGACCTGAACCAAAACCAAGAGCCAGGCACTTAACCAACTAAGCCACCCAAGGTTCCCTGTTAAGCATTATTTTTTATAATGTTCACAACAACCCCAGAGGTATCTCAGTGTCTTACACACCAGAAAACTGAAGCTCAGGAATTATACAAGTCACTGATTAGGACTAGGATTTACAGACCTAAATAGGTTTGCTCTTGAAACCAGTGCTTTTTTTTTTTTTTTGGTTTTCTTTAAATATTCTATTACCATGAGAATAGTAAAGTAATTATATGTTGGTCTTTCTATCAAGCCTTTATCTAAAATTTTTTTTTCATAACAGGCCATTAAAGAATATTAATAAACAGTATTGGAAGATCTTCATTTTATTCTGATACCTGAGTTCCAAAAGGCAATGTGTATTTAGAGTATTCTTAGAGTATCATTATTTAGAGATATTTATGTTTAGAGGCATTTGTACCAGATCACCACAGTCTCCCAGTGTCACTAATTGGTATTTGTAGAAGAGTCTACTTATTCCTCTCTCAGTACATACCCATGTAAAAATTAACGGTCTTTTGATAATTAGATTCATCTCCCATTGTACTAAATTTAAATAGTTACATCTTCATTATGTAATATTTGGAATTATAAATTTTCGTATCAAGTTCTAAATATTCCTTTAAGCAGCCGTGTTTAATAAATACTAATATTTTAACTCCTGTTTTAAACAGCCCAATGAGAACAGTGTCATATTTTCTTGATGACTAGAGTTTACCTTGACCCACATGCAGCATAATATATCTTCCTTTGATAAGGAGCTATGTAGGACTGGTGGCTATGGCCTTCTAGCATGTTATTTTGCTATTGCACATGAGATTTGCCGGAAGCACCCTGACTCCCCACTCTTGCTTCTATTTTTTTTTTTAATTTTTATTTATTTATTTATTTATTTATTTATTTATTTATTTATTTATTTATTTATTTATTTATTTATTTATTTTTACAGATTTTATTTACTTATTCATGAGAGACACAGGGAGGCAGAGACACAGGCAGAGGGAGAAGCGGGCTCCGTGCAAGGAGCCCGACGGGGATCTCGGTCTGGGCCTCCAGGATCATGTCCTGGGCTGAAGGCGGCGCTAAACCGCTGAGCCACTGGGACTGCCCCGGCTCTTGCTTTTATATTTTATGATGGCTCTGCATTCGTGTACTTTTAGGCAATAATGAAGGTTACCAGAAGTAATTTATAACCAAGCTTACTAAGTCAATAAATATCATTTTACAGAAGTTGTTGGGCTGGTGTATACAAATGCATGGACTGTAACCACTACTTATCAATGTTCAGGGACTATTTTTTTTGCTTTTGTTCTCATTTTCTGAGTTGGTTTAGAGTTTTCTTAATAAACCTGTATGTTATCAGTCAAGATCCTGTCTTTGGTTAATACCAGCATTCTCACAGCAGAAAAGGAATTCCCAGATTCCTTTGGTGAAGGAATGGCAGGGTGAAGATGGTAGCATGCTCACAACTGGCTGGTTGCTCCAATGCCCTGCCTTTATCTGCGATTCCAAAATCTTGGAAAACTGAAAGTATTTTCTTGAATTTAGTGCAAACTTAACCCCCGATCTGAAGTTAATAGTCTTTATCCCACTTAATATGAAATCTCTGTTTCACTGCAAATTATCTGTGTATTTAGCACCTCTGCATGATGGTGAGGGATGGTTACATAATATATGTATTACACGATTGTATTTCTTTTCTAACATCCAAAATATTTTTGCATTCTGAAGCATCTGGCTACAAGGGTGCGAGATAACAGGTTGTGGATAAAAATCAAGTAGATTAAAAAAAAAAAAAGGGGATCCCTGGGTGGCGCAGCGGTTTGGCGCCTGCCTTTGGCCCAGGGCGCGATCCTGGAGACCCGGGATCGAATCCCACGTCGGGCTCCCGGTGCATGGAGCCTGCTTCTCCCTCTGCCTGTGTCTCTGCCTCTCTCTCTCTCTCTCTGTGACTATCATAAAAAAAAAAAAAAGATGTTATATATTTTAGAGAGAGAAAGTGAGCAGAGGGAGGAACATAGGAGGAAAGAATCTCTGCACCGAGCCTGGAGCCTAACGCAGGGGTCCATCTCATGACCCTGAGATCATGATCTGAGCCAAAACCAAGAGTCAGACACTTAACTGAGCCACCCAGGCGCCCCCAAAACTAAGGAGATTTTTTTAAAGATTTTATTTATTTATTAGACACAGAGCGAGAGAGGCAGAGACACAAGCAGAGGGAGAAGCAGGCTCCATGCAGGGAGCCCGATGTGGGACTCAATCCCTGGTCTCCAGGATCAGGCCCTGGGCTGAAGGCGGCGCTAAACCGCTGAGTCACCCGGGCTGCCCAACTAAGGAGATTTTTAAGAGTTTTTTTCTCTTATCTCTTCCTTGCATCATCCAAAGATTATTTAGGAAAATGGTAAATTATGCTGAACCTGATGCCAAGAAGGCTAGGTTTCCCTTATCTACTTCATATTTTAAAGGAGCACTTTTAAGCTTTGAGGAACTCAAGTTCTTACAGCCAGAGTTTGGCAGAGCTGGAATTTGAAACTAGTCTTTAATTTTCCACTGCTTAAACCTCTCAATCATGGCATTTTACTACTTTTCTTGTGTGTCTTTTGTGGAAACCACCCTTGGTATTCCCACTCCTCAACTCTAAACATCTTCATCAGATCCATATGAGATTTCTTCCTTTCCTTCTACTTTCCTGTTTGAAGGGCTCAGAGACTCACTCTGCCTTATTCCTCTCTCAGTACTGCTAATATCTGTACCATTTCATGGGTTTTCCTAAACTTGGTGTGGAATATAACACCTAGGGGCTTTTCTGGCTTCCTCACCATCTCTGATGACAAGTGTTCAGGCTTTTTTCATTTCAAAGGTCCTGCTGCTAATCACTAGGGGTTTAACAAAAGGAAGAGCCACAAAATAATAGCAAAATAATGATAAGGATGTTAACAAAGAATGATTTTTGCTCTTTTTGTCCTAGAGTTCCCCATAAATTCATATTTTGATTTCTGCCTTTTATTTCTTAGAATGGATTCACCATTAACGCCCCTTCTGACTCTACCATTAAGATGGATTTCATGTCTGATGGTAATTGCAAGGTAAAAAAAAGAGTAACGGGGCCTTTGGTTTCTGTAGACCATTTGATCTCAGGAACTTCTAGATTGGGTAGTGTATTTACCAGATCTTTGCCAAGATTAAAAACAAATACTGGGAATTTCTACGCTGCATCTATCCCCAGCTAGGTGAATCTTCTAGCAGAGTTCATAGCACATGGGTAGGCATTCCAAAATTCAACTTTGGTTAACTATGCGCCCGCTGTAGGGTATGCAAAATTAAGCTATCTATAGTTACGCTGAACAGAAACCTACCCAGTGTGGTAATTTCCGCAGAGATAGCATTGTAGGGGCAGAAAAATTTCCCTTCTTCCTAAGGTCTTTGCCTAGTTCATTTTATTTATTTATTTATTTATTTATTTATTTATTTATTTATCTATCTATCTATCTATCTATCTATTATTTATTTTTAGTTTTTTTTTCTTTGCGTGGTTTAATAATTACATTGACTCAAGACAGATTAACAGGAGGAAACCAAATTTAATCATGTACATATAGGAGCTTCATAGACATACGAAATTCAAAGGAATGACCAAAGCAGGTCACTGTATCTTTTAGACAAAGAAACAATAAATCAGGATGGACAAGATAAAGAGGCTTGGGTTTGGAGGTCATAAATTGGCCAAGTAGCAAGGTTTTGCTCATAGGCCTTCTCAGCCCTGAGTCGTCTACTTAGTGGTAGGACGCCTCTACTCTCCCGGCACAGGGAGAGCAGCATCCACATGGATTCATCTCCTGCTTTTAGTGGGGGCGGAGGAGGGGCTGAGTGTCCTTCTTTGCACTATTTCTAAAGTACCTTTATTTCTAGATCACCTCTATGCCATAGTGGCGTATCTAGGGGTGGCGTATTCTCTCGCAACACAAGTGAGATTCAAATGAAAGGGAGAGGGGTTTGAGGGATGTGCAGTGGCATCTGACCTCGTAAATTGCTATGCGCATCCCCTGTCGGGCCTGGGGACTGAAGTGGCAGCTCCACGGCGCCTCCTTCCTCACCGGCGAACCGGGCTAGCGCCGGCACCTCCGCACCGCACTGCGCTGCGCGCTCGTGCAACCGCAGCTCCGGGAGCACCGCCTGGCGCGCAGGAAGAGCGCAGCACAGCTCCCGCGCGGGGCTGCCGGCGGCGCTCGGCCCGATGCTTGTCCTCGGCTCACTGGGCAATCGGTTGGTTTCCCCGCCCCACGCTGCTTCCCCGCCGCTTCTGTTCCAGGCGCGCCGTCGGTCTTCACGGGGCGCCCCGCGAAGGCGGGTCCC